TCATGCTTGCTGTCTATCTTATTTCTGAGTACCAAGCAGCCCACACAAGCATTTCTGAGAAGCTTTGCTATGCCGACCCACCAATGGCCCCTTTCTGAAGCCCCTCTCTCATCATCAACAGGGTGATGTGTTTTCCACCAGGTAACTCGGCTACCTTGGCCACAGCTGATCAGACCAAGGACTAGCATCTGACTTATAGGCATCTGACCTCTTGACTGGCCAGTACCCAAGAATGGGTGCCCAGAAACAAAACCAGAGTTGGTGCCATTTCATCAGGATGCAGACTGCCCAAACAGAATTTCTCTCTTAAGGAAATCTGAACGTGAACATACAGAGAGGAAAACAGACATAGAGGCAATGGAAATGGGAAAACACCCTTTGGAAAAAGCAATAAGGGCCTTCTTCCTGGTGGTCCAGTGGTTGAGAATCCATCTGCCAATGCAGGGAATGCAAGCTCCATCCTTGGTCCAGGAAGATCCCACAGGCCCCAAAGCAACGAAGCCCATGGGCCATGACTACTGAGCCAGCACTACAGAGCCCAAGAGCCACAGCTACCAAGCTTAGGAACCACAATGAAGAGTGGCCCCTGCTCACCACAGCTAGAGAAAGCCCGTGCATAGCAATGAAGACCCGGTGCAGCCAAAAAAAATTTAAGAAATCTCTCTTGTAAAAAAGAAAGAAAAAAAAGGCAGTAAGCAGAAGCCATGCATCAGCCAAACCTACAAGGTAATGGCACCGTATCAAACATGGAGCACAGGCGAGGGAGTCAGCAATGAGATAAGCCATGTGATGCACTGCACTGTGGCCCAGTTCCCAAATACGCCTGGTTTTCCCGAGTTCAGCAGTGCCGCGGATTAAGACAGTTTTCTGTTTTTCTTTGTTCCCTAAGCATCCTCAAATGAAACCACAAAGTACTCTAGGTGAGCCTCTTTTCCTTGGAACCTGAACGAGTCTAACTTAACAGGAACAAGTCTTTTTCTGCCCAACAGGATGGTAGGTCCCGGGAGTGCTTTCTCAAGGAACAGTCTGTGCTTTGGCAGAAAAACCAGAAGGTGCATGACTTATTCAGAAAGATTCCCAGGATTTTCCTAACAGAAAACGTGGACAGCCTGTGAGGAAAGCGAGGAGACAGGAGAAGCCTGGAGGAGCCAGATCCTAAACGGTCCACCACAGCGACAATTCTGTGTCTCATCCTGAAATTATGTGGCTCTGTTTAAGGCATTAGAAAAGGAAGAATGTTTAGGTCAGGTTTGAGATTTCTGGATGAGATATCATTTTATCCAACATACACTACTGTCTCCAGTGGAGGTAGATATAACATTTATGACTCAAAGGAACCCACTTGAGGAAAAATGAACTACACTGACACGACCTTGAAGGAAATTCAACTTTCCAGGTATATTCACGTGACCAAAAATGTAAAACAAAGAAATTTACACAAATTACATACTCTAGTGTCCAGACAAAGGAAGCCACGTGAAAGAACAACCTCAACAATTATTTCCTTGGGACAGACACATAACACGCAGGAAAAAGACTCAGAGCTGGTGGGGGCTTCTCTAATGTTCTGTGATGTTTCTCTGGGGGAAAGCAAACAAGAGTGATTTCATGGAAAGTCACCCTGTGAATGTCTTATCTACTTTGTCCTGGTCTGAATCTCCCAATCGCCTGCTTCTACCCGCCACAGTAGGACACTGGAAGTGTCCACAAGGACTCTGGCTGCCAGAGATAAGCAGACGGCAGGACACAGGGAGCAGCGGTGAAAACTCGGACTGGAGTGACCTTCCGGGCTCGCTCTGGCTTTAGGACCCCAGCCTCCATCTGCCGGCGTGCCATCTCCCCTGCTTCCCGCTTACCTTCTCTTTCCCTCTCATTGATGCCTTCAAATATCCCTGTGTTCCGGGAACAGTGGTTATGCTACCAATTCAAAGAGCCACCGCTTCAGAGGAGAGGGAGCCCGCCTCCATCCCACTCCCGGGTCCCCGCTGACTATTTGCAGAAGTTCTTCACAAGCAGGGAAAAGGCCTCCGCGAGTGATGCTCGCTCCATCACCGTAGGTTAATCAAGGCTCTCTGTGCAGATTCCTCCGCCATCTACTCGCACTGCCTTCTCTCTGAGACTTGGCAGGGAAACGCACGCTGTTTTTCATCCTAACTCAAAGACAGCAAGGTTTTTCATACCTGTACAAGTTGGGATTCAAAGAAGTAGCGCGGGATGAAACTGAAAGAAAAACAGCGAAGGCCCCAAGCTGCGACTGGTAACCAGCTTCCCTGATGCGGCACTTCGGCCGACGTTAGACTGGAGAGCCCTGCGTCCTCTTTTCTTTGCAGGTTAAATCCTGTCAAATTTGATCCAGCTCCAACCCAAACTTGTCTCTAACAAAATGATTGTTTTCTAAGCCCCAGCTGCTGGCAGACTCATTTCAAGACATATTCAATATAAGGGAACCGCAATATAAGGTAAGATGTTTAAGCGTGGTGACTTAGACTGAATTTTCCCCTTGTTCTCTGTTCCCTTCTATTCCTCCCCCACTTCTCAGCACTGTCTTTCCATTCTTGACCTTTGTTAAGTGCACTCTTGGGGCCTCATTTCTGCTTCATTGTTTAGACGTCTGTTCATCTTTTCCTGCTGCCCTCGCCCTCATTATTTACCCTTCACTCTCTTTTCATCGTATTTCTTCTTTCCCCTCTCTTTTCCCTTTCTTCTGGCATCTTGCCTCTTCTCAGTCTTACTGTTAAGAGGATCTACAACCCTAAAGCTAGGATTTAGCTTTTATTCCAAACCTTGGCAGCAGGTACCACTTGGGCTGGACATTCATCAGGACAGATGCTAGCAATGGAGCTGGAACAGGATCTAGAAGATTCGAAACTTTGCTACTCACCAGTGGTTTGCGGGAGGTGGAAGAGAACAGGGCAGGAGGGCGCCCTCAGAAGGCTCATGGCAGTTGACAATTACTATTACGTGAGCGATTCGGAACTATTTCCATCTTTTAATGATCCAGAGTGTATCAGACTGAGAACAAGAAAAATAGTCACTGACATCCCAAACAGGCCTAGTTCTATCAGCCAGGCCTTGGTGTCGCTAGGAGGTGGTGCTGATATGGGCGGCCAGGCCTTGTTGAATATGAGCAGCTTCACAGAACACCAATGACTGTGATGGATCCAAAGAAAAACAAGACCACACAAAAACATGAACATCATCCAGAGTACAAAAATGGCCCTGCATCTCCCTACTCTGCTAGTGAGTGGTCCCTTTTCTTTACCGGTTACAGCTCTAGCCTTGACTCACTCATCGTACCTCCTATGGTTGGGTTAAGATGCCCAACCATACATACCCACTTCCAGAAAACATCCAATCCTGATTTCTTGAATGCTCCCCCAAATTATCAAGCATCCAGCACAGTCCAAATCCTATAGTAGGTTCTTCCCAACACCCTTTAACCAAGTCTCCCCAAGTTCCCTGTGGTATGTGTCTCCCTCGTCACAACAAGCAACAAACCCAACTTGTTCAACCACCAGTGTGTTCCTGGTGGGCATTGACAAAGTGCATTTGTGTCCTGCCAAAGCCTCGAGATAACGTTGAGAAAGGGATTTCTGACAAGAAGGGCCTGAACCCTCAGTGAAGACTGTCATTTAAGTTCCCTGGGAGGAAGAGAAAGAGGACCTGCTCCTCACCCTCTCCCGCTTCCCACTGGTAATTCTGGAAGGCTGCCAAGAGAAGAGCATGAAGTCTCCCAGATCTAACAGGCGAGATCCTGACCTCCTGGTTTTGGAATCCTGTTGTCAGGCACCGGAGAGGAAAGGACAGTTTGGTGTGGATGAATACTTTTACCTGCTCAACAGTTGGGGGACAGCTCCCTAAACGCTTAGAATAATTCCCTTGCATCTATAGTACTGTTGCCTACTCCCTACCACAGCCCACTTCCACTCCAGAGCTGATCCTGCTTCCTCCCCATACTGGATTTCAAGTTTGGTCCTGGACTTCCAGCAGACATTGTTTTCCCTTTCTTCATTGCTTTCAACTAACACACAGGAAGGAGCAAACGGAAAACTTATCAACCCATCAAAGCCAGTGTCAGGAGATAGGACCAAGCCTGCCTTTTAGAACACAGCTGAACCTGAAGATAAGCACTAGGCTTCCCGGAACCTGAGTGGCCATGCGGTATGCCCAAGTTCATGTAACAATGAGTCTTATTTCTGCAGTTCCTTCCTGCCTTCAGACGCTTGAGTGAAATATGCTTCAGAAGAACTCATAATTGCTAGACACCAAATTAGCCACCAACCCAGGCTTGCTCCTAAATTATTCAAGATGTTGGAAAAATACCTACACAAAACAGATCAATCAAAGAAATCAGATACCTACCCTGCAGTTCTGAGACAATTAGGTGGAAACATTCTGCAGTTGCACACTAACAATTATTTCTCCCACTGAGTGGTATCAGAAAACTTGGAAAAATTAAATGTGGTATCATATCACCAACCCACAGAGTGGAAGGCATCACCCTGAGCACTGGGTATTAGTAAACAGAATTACAAAGCCTAATAGAATCACGGAACAAATGCAAACCTCAGGGAATCATTGTCTTTCAAATAAACAGTGATTAGCTCCCTGTAAATTTGGGGGGCGGGGTGGTGGCCGGGTGGGCTGTTCCTAATTCAAAGTTCTCAAGGTCACAGGAGTAGCACCTAGGAATGTCACAGCCCAGCAGCCGCTCCACCGCATCCCACCAGCACCCAGCCCCCAGCTGCCCAATCTGGGACAGTTCAGTCCGACAGAACGAAGCAGCTGAAAGATGCTGGAGCAGAGAAAATCATGGCATGCTAAAGAGGCATCTGCCCTGAGCTCATTAAAAAGATATATTAATTAGGATAACTAAGCTGCTGTAACAAATACACCTCAAATTTCCAGGGACCTCCTAGGATAAAAATGTCTTTCTCTAAGTGCCATTCCAGCGTGGATGTCCTGGCCAGTTGAGTAGCTTTTGTTCTTCTATCAGTTAGGGCCCCTCTACCCCTCCGGAGCAGCCGTTCTCCGCCTTGGTCATCCTCTAGAACGTCTGTGCTTAGTCTCTCGGTCACATCGGACTCTGCCATGCCATGGACTGTAGCCGCCAGGCTCCTCTGTCCCTGTGGATGCCCCAGGCAAGAAGCCTAGAGTGGGTTGCCATGCCCTCCTCCAGAGGATCATCCCAACCCAAGGATCGAACCCAGGTCTCCCACACTGCAGGCGGATTCTTTACCAGCTGAGCCACAAGGGAAGGAGGGAATGTAGCATACTCCAATAGAAACTCAGGCATAAAGAAAATGTAGACTCCAGTACAGACTCTTGGCAAAAACTAATTTTTGTGACCTTGGACGTGTCCCTTATCCTCTCTAGGCTCAGTATCCTGTCAAGAGGGGGAGTTGGACTAGAAGTTGTAAGGCTCTGTGATACTTCCATTCAATAAGATAATTATGGAAACTGAATTTACCTAAAGTCAAGTCTTATACAAGAGAACTTTATGTCTTTCCATAGTCATTTCTAAATGACATGTGAATGAACTCAGTTTTAGAAATAATGCAGGCCTCTGCTTTCTCTCCTTCTCGGCTCCTGCTACCCTTGACAATCATGACAGCCCATCAAGGTTGCCATTTGGTGAATATCGGAAGAGAAGAAAATGAACTATAATTCCATCATTTGGTTTTCCTTACTTATAAAGAGCAAATCTCGAGCAACAACATGCTAATAAGTACATGCGTGGTAAGTTGCATCAGTCCAAATCTTCGCGACCCTACAGACTGGAACCCACCCAGCTCCTCTGTCCATGGGATTCTCCAGGCAAGAATACTGGAGAGGGTTGCCATGCCCTCCTCCAGGGGATCTTCCTGATCCAGGGATCAAATCCACATCTCTTACATCTCCTGCAATGGCAGGTGGGTTCTTTACCACTAGCACCACATGGGAAGCCAAGTAAGATACAGGTGGAAACTTAGTACATCAAAGAAGAAAAGCAGAAGGAGGAAGGAAATGTTAAGCTTTGCATTACATAACACAATGGGCTTCTCTGTCTCAGGCATGCAGGGAGAGCCAACACGTAGTGGCCATCTTTCCTCACTGTCTGCTGGAGAGATCCAAAGAGCATGCGTGAGCATTAAGTGGGTGATTTGTCATGATAACTCAGATTTGGAGTGTGTTTTCCCATTATAGATCTGGTCTTCTCATTCTTACAAATTTGTGCTTTCATGCTATTTGTGCTGCTTCCCGTTGCACATAAAAAGGCAGCACTAGCCATGTGAATGTGCCCATCTCACACGTACCAAGCTCAGTCGGTCAGCATAGCCCTGGTGAAGAGAGCATCTTCTGAGACTTTCATATTCAGGAGGCACTGGGGCAGGCAGCCTCTGTTTATCTGGATAGATCTGCTCTCGGCCTGTAAACAGAAAGATGGCCACAGCTACAAAGGAGAGTGTTACACAGAGGTCTGTTGTCTCTCAAAAGTCAAAGATCTACTCGGTCATTGGATAAATGAGGATGAGATACTACTAAGTTATCCTTAAAATTACTGCAAAGATTTAGGAGCCTAAAGACCAAGAAGTGAACTTCTTTCTCCTGTAAGAGTCTCTCTTCAGAAGGCGGCTGCGTAAGTCTCCCTGAGAACTGCCCTCCCAGTTCACCAGGATGGGGAAGGAGCATGAAGGACCCACAGGGGCTGTGCTTGGCAGCTGTACCCACTGCTTTCACTCACACCCCAGTGGAGAACACTCGGGTACAGGGTCACACCTAAATATACAGAAGGCGGAGAAACATCATCTCACCATGTGAGCGGAAGAGGGGTGATAGATTTGCGTGAGCAGCTAGTGGTCTCTTCCACTGGGTTTTTAAACTTCAGGTTGGAATTCATTAGTGCATCATAAAATCAATTTAAAAAATGCAAATTAGCATCTTTTAAAAATGGGATGGAAGAAAGGAGAAGGGAAAGAAGGAGTAGGAAAGGGGAGGGAAAAAAGGGGAGAAGAGAGGAGAGTTCAGAGACTGTTGCACTAGGAAGGCTGCTGTTGGTGTTTAGTTGCTCAGTTGTGTCTGACTCTCTATTGACTCCATGGACTATAGCCCACCAGGCTCCTCTGTCCATGGGATTCTCCAAGCAAGAATACTGGAGCAAGTTGCCATTTCCTCCTCCAGGGGAATCTTCCCAACCCAGGGATAAAACCTGTGTCTCCTGCAGCTCTGGCACTGGCAGGCGGATTCTTAACCACTGAACTACCGGGGCTTTCCACAGGAAGGTTTAAGTAGTCTTTAATGAAATTTGCATCAGTTGTATGTGTGTTAATAAGTTACTGGGTCAAATGAATTTCTCTTTTTAAAGTTTTTATTATATATTGGAGTATAGTTAATCAACAATGTTGTGCTAGTTTCAAGTGTACGGCAAAATGATTCAGTTACATATACTGGTATCTAGTCTCCCTCAAACTCCCCTCCCATCTAGGCTGCACATAACATTGAGCAGAGTTCCACGTGCCATACAGTAGGTTCTCATTAATTATCTATTTTATACATAATAGTTTATGTATGTCCATCCCAAGCTCCCAACTCATCCCACCCACTCTTTAAGCCTAGGTATCTGTAAGTTTGTTCTCTACATCTGTCTCTATTTCTGCTTTGCAAATAAGTTCATCTGTACCATTTTTCTAGATTCCTCATATAAGCAATATTATATAACATTTGTTTTTCTCTTTCTGACTTACTTCATTCTATATAACATCTCTAGGTCCATCCACATCTCTGCAAATGGCACTATTTCATCCCCCTTCCTCGCTGAGTAATATCCCATTGTATATATGTACAGCTTCTTTATCCATTCTTCTGTTGATGGACATTTAGTTTGCTTCCATAGTTTGGTTATTAACAAATCAAACAATCTCATTATAAAGCAGCCTCACCTGGTGTTATGGGTTTGATTATGTCTCCTGCAAAAAGATATTTTGAAGTTCTAACCCCCAGTACCTCAAAATGTGACCTTATTTAGAAATAGAGTCTTTGCAGATATAATCAAGATAAGGCCATGGGGTGGGCCCTAGTCCAACATGACTTGTATTCTTTTTTTTTTTCTTTTTTTTTTCCCCCATTTATTTTTATTAGTTGGAGGCTAATTACTTTACAACATTGCAGTGGTTTTTGTCATACATTGAAATGAATTAGCCATGGATTTACATGTATTCCCCATCCCGGTCCCCCCTCCCACCTCCCTCTCCACCCGATCCCTCTGGGTCTTCCCAGTGCACCAGGCCCGAGCACTTGTCTCATGCATCCAACCTGGGCTGGTGATCTGTTTCACCCTAGATAATATACATGTTTCGATGCTGTTCTCTTGAAACATCCCACCCTCGCCTTCTCCCACAGAGTCCACAAGTCTGTTCTATACATCTGAGTCTCTTTTTCTGTTTTGCATATAGGGTTATCGTTACCATCTTTCTAAATTCCATATATATGTGTTAGTATACTGTAATGGTCTTTATCTTTCTGGCTTACTTCGCTCTGTATAATGGGCTCCAGTTTCATCCATCTCATTAGAACTGATTCAAATGAATTCTTTTTAATGGCTGAGTAATATTCCATGGTGTATATGTACCACAGCTTCCTCATCCATTCGTCTGCTGATGGGCATCTAGGTTGCTTCCATGTCCTGGCTATTATAAACAGTGCTGCGATGAACATTGGGGTGCACGTGTCTCTTTCAGATCTGGTTTCCTCAGTGTGTATGCCTAGAAGTGGTATTGCTGGGTCATATGGCAGTTCTATTTCCAGCTTTTTAAGAAATCTCCACACTGTTTTCCATACTGGCCGTACTAATTTGCATTCCCACCAACAGTATAAGAGGGTTCCCTTTTCTCCACACCCTCTCCAGCATGTATTGCTTGTAGACTTTTGGATAGCAGCCATCCTGACTGACGTGTAGTGGTACCTCATTGTGGTTTTGATTTGCATTTCTCTGATAATGAGTGATGTTGAGCATCTTTTCATGTGTTTGTTAGCCATCTGTATGTCTTCCTTGGAGAAATGTCTGTTCAGTTCTTTGGCCCATTTTTTGATTGGGTCATTTATTTTTCTGGAGTTGAGCTGGAGGAGTTGCTTGTATATTTTTGAGATTAATCCTTTGTCTGTTGCTTCGTTTGCTATTATTTTCTCCCAATCTCAGGGCTGTCTTTTCACCTTGCTTATAGTTTCCTTTGTTGTGCAAAAGCTTTTAAGTTTCATTAGGTCCCATTTGTTTATTTTTGCTTTTGTTTCTAAAATTCTGGGATATGGGTCATAGAGGATCCTGCTGTGATTTATGTCGGAGAGTATTTTGCCTATGTTCTCCTCTAGGAGTTTTATAGTTTCTGGTCTTATATTTAGATCTTTAATCCATCTTGAGTTTATTTTTGCGTATGGTGTTAGAAAGTGTTCTATTTTCATTCTTTTACAGGTGGTTGACCAGTTTTCCCAGCACCACTTGTTAAAGAGGTTGTCTTTTTTCCATTGTATATCCTTGCCTCCTTTGTCGAAGATAAGGTGACCATAGGTTCGTGGATTTATCTCTGGGCTTTCTATTCTGTTCCATTGATCTATATTTCTGTCTTTGTGCCAGTACCATACTGTCTTGATGACTGTGGCTTTGTAGTATAGTCTGAAGTCAGGCAGGTTGATTCCTCCAGTTCCATTCTTCTTTCTCAAGGTTACTTTGGCTATTCGAGGTTTTTTGTATTTCCATACAAATTGTGAAATTATTTGTTCTAGTTCTGTGAAAAATACCGTTGGTAGTTTGATGGGGATTGCATTGAATCTATAGATTGCTTTGGGTAGTATAGCCATTTTGACAACATTGATTCTTCCAATCCATGAACACGGTATATTTCTCCATCTGTTTGTGTCCTCTTTGATTTCTTTCATCAGTGTTTTATAGTTTTCTATGTATAGGTCTTTTGTTTCTTTAGGTAGATATACTCCTAAGTATTTTATTCTTTTTGTTGCAATGGTGAATGGTATTGTTTCCTTAATTTCTCTTTCTGTTTTCTCATTGTTAGTGTATAGG